GAGAGAGAGAGAGAGAGAGAGAGAGAGAGAGAGAGTCACCACTCTGATACGCATTCTTCACAGAAGACATGTTTACAACGAAGCACAACTGGAACATGCATTTTTTCTTGGCAAATAGCACAAACTTCACCAGCTGCATTTACCTGAAATTCATCATAAATTTTATTAGGATGTCAACTTCACTAATTATTAATAAAATAAAATAAAGAGGATTGCCTGTTCAGATGTTGCATAAGGTCCATAGTGAATCTCTTTATGATATAAAGCCTTTACAGATGATATTAATGATTGGACCTGTGCAACAAAATCATCATTTATATTTCCTTCCATTTACCCAAGTATCTGTGATCCAGATAACACTCAATCCATACATACAACATTGAATGGGATTGGGAGATAAAAAGAATGAACCTTTTCAACAATGGAAGTTAGCTTGAAGGTGAGATATAATCCAGTCATTAGTGATGAAAATAGGCTTCCATATTCTTTGTTCAAAAAGAACCGATACCACACTGGAGCAGGAAGCAATGCACGGTATAAAAGCAACAAGTATTCAACCACAGTCAACATTTGACCCTACCACTCACAAAACCTCCACTCAGAATCAGATACAAATAACACACGTATTTATATAAAAAAATAAAAAAAAATGTTTTCAGCTTTATTTATGCATTGTATCTGACCTGCTTTCGGCGATTTCTTCCTCTGCTGTTCTTGTAATACATTAACAGAAAACACTTGAGCACCATTGCTGCTTGTCTGACCAAAGTATCTGAAAACCCAATAAAAATTCTTGAGTGTTTTCTTATGAAAAGTTATACAATATATAACTTATGATGAAAAGAACTCACCATTGACAACTATTATGAAAACTGCATGCCAGAAAGGTGGTGTACTTTCAGGAGGGAGCATCACCAATGGATACAGGACGTCATCCTGGCGGCACCACCAGTAAACACCAGCCACATGAAGTGTAAAGAAAAAAGAAATGGTTGCTAGAACTGCTATCTTCCTTTCTCCCTGCAAACATATTTGATGAAACTGTTATGGAGCTCTTTACGTAACAGACATATTATTGATGGAAAACAAAAAAGAAACATCAAGAAATAAAGAATGATTTGCACCTTGAGAGCTGTCTGCTTGCGAAGAATATCATTTGATTTGAACATAAAAGCAGCAATCCAGATTGTGACAAGAAAATCTGGAACCCCTTGCAAAGAACAATTACAGTGAGAAAAAGTAGATTTCTAAACAAAGAGGAAATGGAAGTGATAAATGCATGAAGATAAGAACAATGTGATTGCAGTACCTTCAAAGTGTTGGCGAATGAAGACCACCAACAGTAATAAAGAAAATGGAAGAACTTGCTCAATCAATCTGGCAGCCTGCTGTAAATCATATCTCTGGTAAGTAGAATCTCTGCTATTGTTAACACCAATACCATCAGCAGACTCCACATCACCATTCCCACTCACAGCACCACCATGATCACTCCTTGAATCTCCCTGAGTATCCATGGTCGCTGCAGAAACAGCTCTTGAAATTGAGTGAACCAATGATTCACTCTGTGTAGCTGTTCCTTCCCTGATCTGTCCAACAGTTGAAGATTGATTGATATTTTGTTCGCCACTACCAGCGATCCTGATAGATACTTCACTTGAATCATCCGCGGATGGAGGGGAGTCATTCCGAGTGCGTCCACTATTGATCAAACTGCCTGATGAATCGGAATGACTAATACTTTGCGTTTGTAAAATTCCCATATACTCCAAGAATGTACATACAGGTGAGCGAAAGAAATTTGAAGCGGAGAAAGGGTTGTTTCCATTTTGCCTTCGTGGATGGTGATAATGATGATCGCTAGTACTGGTGCTTGCCAAAGAACCTCTGTGCGCGTCTGAATTAACACCAGAAGCCTCCATTCTGTTCGAAAACCTACCCCTAAACCTAATCCTAACACTATTTAAAGGGATAAAATCACAGAAAATTTCACATATAATCAGTAAAGAACGATTTATAGAGAGATAATTATAACAAACTAAATAAACAAAAATCAAAGATCATATTTGAAATAGCTAGGTAGATGAACACTGAAAGTGATCATAAAATTAAATTAAAGAGAAGGTAAATCTTAGTGTGGTGTAGATTCTTGCCTTGGAGACCGAAGCTCCGTTGAAATGGCTCTGAATTATGAGATACGGAGATTCAGTAGGTGAACCCTAACGAATTGCAGTGGAGAAATCAATGCGAATGTTGGAAATTGCATAACGCTATCGGGAATACATGAGCCGTTTGGGCGTTGTACGAAAAAATGTATGCCGATCCTCAAAGGACGACGGAGCATTGGAAGAAAATGGCGGAGGTAGTGGTGGAGATGGCTGATTGTATCTCTCCGTCGCCAAATTCGATCTTTTAGCAGTGCAGAGAGAGAGAGAGAGAGAGAGAGAGAGATGCGTTTGGTTTTATAGCAAAGTAACGCTAAATCCTTCAACTTTACTAAGAGAATGTCAGTTAAAAAGATATTTAAAACTAATTATTATAGTAGTTCTACAAATTAAATACTAAAAAAAATTAATATACTAATACAAGTCAACCTTATCACATTAAATAAAATTTGAAACTATGAATTATATATGGTATAAAGATGGTTTGACTATTTACAGGAACTTTTTTTTATGAATATGGTATCTTTGAAAGGTATGAAAATCGTAATGTATTGATCAATGATTAATGATATAATGGTAATGTAATCGAAAGATGACGAATATATTGTTTATAATACCAACATATTATAAACCAATGAAAGTAATATCGTTGGAACATGAGTATATTGTTTGAAAAAAAAAATCGGGTACTTAAAGTCCTTTTTTTCTCTCCTATGTGGTAGTTATTTGTAATAGAAATATTTCAATGATCGTGGACTCGATTCATTGCAAGAAATATAATGTTGAAATAACTAATGTGTTACACATGAAAATATGAGGAATAAATTGAAGTGATACTATGTGTGGATAAATTAGTAGCATCTTTTGTTGCCTAAAAGAGACAGGATGAATGATGATGCATTATATTTGTTGTTGGATGTGGATACATAGGGGGAACGACACTTTAGGTGCATCATATTGGAAATCGAAATGGAAAATACACGCCCAATAATGAGCATGGTTGTGTAAGTTTGGGTACATAGGCGTGTATATGTGAGGGGAATCACATCGTTGTAGCATATTCAAGAAATGAGTATGAAAATCTAGTATTGTGCATGACTATGTAGAATTGATTTGATGTGGTTGTGATCTAATAATGGACCATGCAAGTCTTAATGATATAAGCAAGGCTTGTCCTAGAATTTACACGATGAATTTAGTTATTACATGAGTATATTTAAGGATGACAATAATACCCTAGCACTATTGAAAAAGAAAGACAAACCAAAAAATGTTGGGTCGGGTACATGGTTATGGGATCAAGTATAAAAAAAATTCTAAAAAATTCCACGAGTTTAGGATAGTTATGGACTTATTGTCTTATGTTTATACTCACGTAACCACTCCCATTTCACCATCCTGAACAATTATATTTTACTAATACTTATACTTTATATTGTAATATTATATTTGGTATTAGAGGTAGAGAGTTTTCTATGCAATTACTATTTTTCTTTAGAATATATATTGATAATATTGTTTTTATTATTTATGTTATTATATTGATTAGTTTATCATGAAATTAGGATATCATAATTCTTGTATCGTGATAATTATATTTATATAACATTTGTTAGATATTTAACTTGTGTATTAGAATTTGAAATTATAAAAAAGTTTAAGTTATTTTTAAATGAGATTATGATCGGGTTTAGCTAATGTGGATAAAATTTAACATATTAACATCATAAATAGGATACTCGACATCCATAGATATACCTACAACCCCGATATGTATTTACTAACTAGGTATTGATGGGATCAGGACGAGTTTAAGATGTGGTTTTATAATTTGGTGGATGAGTATTATACCAGAATCACTAGTAAGTGTCTCAAATATATCCCATAGTCATCCTAAACTGTATAGGCATATGATACATTGTCATCCCAAACTATAATGTATGTGATCACCAAAAACCGTCTTTATGCCATTAATAATATCTTATTATTATGTGAAGATGTTGGTGGCATAAACATAATGGTAATAATACTTATAATTATAGAGCAGTGAAAAAATGCTTGGAAAATCCAACATGATCAATAATGAGACCATATAAGCAATAATCACTTCTATCTTAGAATATTTTATATATAAATTATTATGTCACCTGTCAATCTATTAATTATTCATTTGAAATTTTAAATTTTAAATTTTTCACTGTAATTACAATAAATTAATATTTTATTATCCATTTCAAATTTTAAATTTTAAAAATTTTCACTCTAATTACATTAAATTAATAATTGAATCTTTATTTTTAATTTCAAATTTAAATTTTTTTCACTTTAATTATATTAAATTAATAACGTTAGATTGAAAAATAATATAAAATTAATACATATTATAAGATGATATAACTTCATATATTTATTTAAATCAACGTTTATAATTTTATATAACTGAAAAATATATTTTAAGTAATAATTTATGTAAAATAATTAATTAATAATTTTGATTTTTTGATATTAAAGTTTAATCAATTTTATAACCGTAATTCTCACGGCTTATAAACTAGGTTTATAAACTAGTAAATAAATAAATAAATTGTTTACCTCTACTCCACAATTATAAGGTTACTATAATTATTTTAGGAGCGAAAATCCTTTTCAATGAAAATAAAAATAAAAATGCTTAGATAAATGCTAAAAAAATAGACTTTTTTTTTTTTTTGTTTTTGTTTTATTTATTTATTTACTAAACAGGGGCATTTATAGAAAGTATTAAGCGAAAAAGGACTAAGCATGAAAGTATATGAATAGTGTATGGACCTTTTATGTAATGATTGCATTAGATGCAGCCATTAAGCACCTAGGTCCTTCACGAATTTAGAGAGAACTTCCCAATTGAACTCCAGTTCAGTGGAGTTATTCCAAAGGATCGAAAGGATCACCCCATCGTTATCATCAATTAGGTCGCAATCAGCAGCTGCTGCTACTGTTGCTGCTAGAATTGCAATTGAAGACTTGAATTTTAAATTAGTGAAATTTGAATGAAGGGATATGGAGGGGTTTGGTGGTAGCGGTGGTAGTAGAAATAGGAGAATTACGATGGCTAGCAGCACGGGTAGAGGTGGGAGTAGACCTCCACCGCTATGCGGTGGTCGGAGGAGAGTTGTTGCTACAAAGAAGCGTGGCTGGAGCAACCCGCTGTCGGTCAACAACACCGTCAAAAAGCTTCAAAGACGCGAGATTTCTTCCAAACCCAATCGTGCCTCTGCAATCACCAAATCTCTCCACCGTTTTCGCAACTTCCGCTTGACGGTAGTCCCTTCTCATCCTACCCTCTATTCTTCTTCAGTTCTCTTCAATTCAGCTAGTTTCCACTACTATGCAGCTAAATTTATCAAAAATTAAAGAGTTAGCTATATAATTTGAGATCAGACACTAATTTTAGGGCTCCCTTGTCACTCGTTCAAATAATAAAATAACCAAAAAGTAGTCAATCTCTTTTCTTCTTTCATGTTGGATGCGGAAATCCCTAATGGCTATGATCATCTGGACAATATAACTTGTGGGTTGATGCGATGTATGATGATTGTTTGCTATGGAAAATAACACTTGATTATGCTAACGTAATCCTAATTTAGATATCAATGCATTATAATTTATAAACTTTGATTATTTGCCTTTTCAGGCGATTTAACATTTGTTTTCCCATACTTAATGCTGTGCTGCTTCTCTAGTCTATTTATTTGTAAAGGGGATTTTTCTGATTACATTCGAGATGAATGAATGGTTCAAACCTAAGCATCATAGATGAACATTTTCTTTATATGATGCTTCTATTTTGTTTCTTTTGCCAAATTGGGGATCTTGATATATATCTTCCAATCTGAGGGGAGCATTCGAATAGAGATCTAGAATTAGGGCTTTATTCCTTGTTTATTCAACCCTCTTCCCTTCTCATTTGTTAATCAATAATCTATGAATGTTTAAAGAAGTTAAGTTCCTAATACTGTACATTAAAATTCTCAGATATACTCAAGTTAAAATAACTTTTTATCTTCTTTAAATTTGAACAGTCATATAGCAATGACATAAAAGCATGATATCTAGAGCTCCTTTTTTGCATTTCAACCCAACACATATATTTGTTGTCCCATTTCTTTTTCATTACTATTTATTTGCTACAAATTATTGAGAAGTTTATAATTGCGCACACATTATATCAAAGTTAAAGAACAAAAATGTTGAACATAATTAACACATGCATACATGTGCTTATGAGAGAAAAATGAAGAGATTTTCATGTCCACACAAATCATAATTATCACATGCAACACATTTACATCTTTTCTGTTAACTTTCCCCTATATGTTAATAAACATTACATAAATTACTTTACTTTTTTTAACACCATATCAGGAGAGATACGATATCCATGATCCCGTGGGCCAATGTTCATTAGTATTACCATTGTTGATGAAAAGAGCAAAAGTCATTGAAATAGTTGTGGTGCATGATATTGTCTTTGCTCTTGCAAGTTCTGGTGTTTGTGCAGCTTTTAGTAGAGGTAATTCAAAACACAAACATTTTCAAAATTTCTACAGTTTGTTGTTATATTTCTACTTAAGGGTATGCAAGAATGACATTTTCTTGGTTTTTAATCCAAATACAGATACAAACAAGAGGATATGTTTCTTGAATATCTATCCAGATGAAGTCATCCGGAGCTTGTTTTATAACAAAAATAATGATTCATTGATTACAGTGTCTGTATATGCTTCCAATAACTTCAGTTCACTAAAATGCAGATCAATAAGAATAGAGTACTTCTTAGTTCTTTCTACTCATTTCTTTTACATATACACATGACATGACAAAACATGACAGTTTTGTTTATTTTTGTGTTCCTTTTTTTTTTTTTTTTCTAGATACATACAAAGAGGGAAACCTGATGAAGGGTTTCCCCTTTTCGAAACCGAATCTTTAAAGTGGCCTGGATTTGTGGAGTTTGATGATGTAAATGAAAAGGTTCTTACCTACTCTGCACAAGATAGGTATCTTTCCTTACCTTAAAGACGAGGGCATTCACGTCTTTTACAACAAATTTTTGTCCCATACATGATAACATATTGTACTTTTGACTTTAGCATATACAAGGTGTTTGACTTGAAGAACTACACACTCTTATACTCGATAGCCGATAAACATGTGGAAGAAATCAAAATCAGGTAAACTTTTTTACTTTTATTTTCTTTTTACTAGTTACGGTTTGTATAAATATTAAATAATAAATAAACCCTTTGATTCATTTAATGAAACAGCCCTGGAATCATGTTACTAATTTTCAGTCGGGGTCAAAGCCATGTTCCTTTGAAGATCTTATCCATAGAAGATGGAACGGTTTTAAAAGACTTCAATCATTTACTTCATCGAAACAAGAAAGTGGATTTTATCGAACAATTCAATGAAAAGCTTCTTGTTAAACAAGACAATGAGAATCTTCAAATTCTTGATGTATGTTAAATGTTACTAAATGTTAATGTTCCTTCCATTTGTTCCAAATGTATCTAAAACATGATTTTATGTTGGAATTGTAGGTGAGGAATGCTGAGGTGAAAGAGGTTGGAAGCACAGAGTTTATGACTCCATCTGCATTTATATTTCTATATGAGAATCAGCTGTTTCTAACCTTTAGAAATCAAACGGTTTCTGTGTGGAACTTTAGAGGGGAACTTGTTACATCATTTGAAGACCATGTCTTATCACATCCAGACTGCAACACTAACAACATCTATATAACTAGTGATCAAGATCTCATTGTTTCTTTCTGCAAGGCGGCTGATAACCAGCAATTCACGGATCGAAGAGGTGAATTTACTTTTATGCCCTTTTTCATTTCCCAATTGCTACTATTTATTGCATGTCGTAATGTAGTAATGGTTCTTAATGGGATTGGTTGGCATTGCAGCTGGTTCGATTAATATAAGCAACATATGGACTGGAAAATGCATAGCAAAAATAAACTCAAGCAATGCAATTTCATCAAAGGAAGAAGAAGAGGGAAGCGCAAGTTCAAGGTCAAGGCAAATTGAAGTGAATATGGTGGAAGAGGCACTTGAGGACATAACTGCCCTTTACTTTGATGAAGATCGCAATGAAATCTATACTGGAAATAGTAATGGTTTGGTTCATGTTTGGTCTAACTAATATAAATAATAATAATAATAGGCCGTGTTGAGTTGTGTTGTGTTGTGGAGAGTAATTACATATGTTGGTAGTTATGAATGTTCTAAGTATATAAATATATGTATAATATAGGTTCATTTGTGTGTTTGATTTTGAGATAATAGAGATATATGTGAAATTCATTATCAGTTTAATGTGTTGAAATCCACCAAAGTGGTGTAATGAAAAAAAAAAATTGTTTATTGGTCTACTAATTACGGTTAACAGATCAACAACCAAAAGAACATATTAAGTACAAGCAATGATGATGCCATATCATTTTTAGGACGTGACTTGAGACGAATTTTGTATATACTTTGTACTTTTATTTTTACAAATATGTGTTACCTATTATTATTTAGTTATAGTGACAAGTAGAGTACATATAAAAAAATCACTTAGTTATAGATCTATATATATTATATCAAGCTTTCACGAAATTTTATATCAACTAGTGATAAAATGTATAACAACAAAACAATAGTTTCATGTCTAGTTTGGAAAATAAACCATGCATTAAAAAAACTTCCACCAAAAATAAGACATGATGAACCTTGATACAATTTGGCACGCGCCACGCCTTAGATTACCACCATGAAGATTTTTTGGATGTTATAATCGTAGCTTGTGGCTAAGCCATGTTTGTCTAGAAGATTGCTATTAATTGTCATTTTATTTTTTATAAAATTAACCTTATCGTTGAATTTGATGAATAAACTTATTTCATAAAAATCCTAAGTTTTACACGCATAAATGAAAAAAGCCCCAACATTTTCTTTTTGTAGTGTTATGACCACAACTTTCTTGTATAGTTATCACTTTAGTCCACTTAACGAGTTTCTTGATTAACTCTCTTGTTATTATTATTATTATTATTATTATTATTATTATTATTGCAAAATTAATCCTAAAATTGGGTTTAAAATCCAGATTTAGTCATGTAGTTTGCAAAAAATTACACCACGTGATTTTTTAACTTTATTTTTCGTTTTTTATATACACCACATGGAATTTCTAAATCCAGCATACAATAATAAAGTTTCTCACACTTCTCAATTATGAATCATTCAAGAAAACCAACAAATTAGAAAAATCAATATTCTTGAACACATATTTAATACCATCATAGTAGCAAAAATGTTTGTTGATGAACACACCTTGAAAATGAACTTTGATTGCGATGTATATTACCATCGAGAGGATCTTTGGTGGGAGCAAGGGTTTTTTTAGATTCACTACGAGAATGAAAAAGGAAGTAGGACACTCTAATTTTAAAGCTATCGATTTTGATGGAGTAAATGTGTCATTTTCAATTAATGACTAGCACAGTCATTTCTTACATGGCACACAAAGTAGTGGTTAACCCGGTACCTTGTTAGTTAAATAAAGATGTCTTAAACATTAAGATTCAGACTTTATTCTTCTTTTATACCAAAAAAAAGTGAGTGAGCTTTTAAAACTCGTTGGACTAACATGACATTAACCCAAAGACTATTTTTGTAATTTACTCTAAATTAAATGTACGTCCTGAAGATTTACCCATCCTAATTCTCCTTATTTGTCATCTTCAAAGACACTGTCATCTCCTAATGCTCTAGAGTCTACACTCAAGAAAATGCGGGGTTTACAAAATATTTACAGAATAAACAGAAAGACAGTGGATCTCATGAAAAATTAAATGTAGAAACTTGTAGAGATTCCAAATGGACACCAACCGAATGAGGTAAAATGAGTTCATAAAACAAAAATGAAAAGAAAGATGTCAAGAAACACAATGCTCGATTAGTCGGACAAAGAGCAATAGATGCTTGCTTTATGAAGGATGATTTCAAAAGATGTCCATATAAGTATACTCCACTTCAAAGAAAGTAAAAGTAACTTTGTTTATGTATATCTTTACGTCGATGATCTTATATTTTACCGAGAATTACATCAACATGATTGAAAATTTCTTAGAATCTGGGGATTACTTCACTATTTTCTTGGTAACCATTCCATGAATATAATTTTATCTAACACGATCCAACTCTTGTAATCAAATTTAGTCGGTAGCTTTTTTACTTAAACCCAAATCATTCAATTCTAAAAAAGACAAGACATTATTTGAGCATCACGAGTCGACCTCAACTCACACTAAACTGGCAAAAATGAAGCCAAAACTCATGATAATCTCAAGTGTTGATTAATTAACAAATTAAGCAACTTCAATAAGTGTGGTCTCATAGTCATCAGGAGCCACAAACCCATGCAAATTCATAACCGTTGCCGCCACATTCGCTAGCCCACCATTTGGAACATCCTTACGGAACTTCACACCACTCGCTAACCCCGGTCCTCCTATCGCAACCGGCACCTGCACACAACATAACATAACAGTCTTGTACTGTGTTTGAACTGTAATTATAACCGATGTGAATAGCACAAAACTCTACTTTTTCTTATCCAACCCATAAAAGTAAAGATGGGACATAAAGGTAAAAAAGTACAGTCATATATTTATTGCTTACTGGCTGAAGAGTGTGTGAGGTTAGGATTTGGACTTTTCCATCCTTGCCAACTATAGGCTCCCCTTTCTTGTCCCGTTTCACCATATCCTCTGCGTTTCCATGATCTGCAGTCACGACATATATGCCACCCACTTTCTCCACCGCATCAAGTATCGTCTGTCAAAATATAAAACCTATATTTATTTATTTCTGTATATCATAATTTAAAATATATAAACGAGAATTACAAATGTATTTAAATTTTTACGTGACACTTAACATACCTTAACAGACTCATCAGCAGCCTTGCAAGCGACAATTGTGGCGTCCACATCACCCGTGTGCCCAACCATATCACCATTTGGTATATTCACCCGTACCTAAATTTAACCACATTTTAAATTTTTTTCCCATTAACATCAGTTCCAGTACAACCTGTTCTGTTCTGTTCTGTCTTGTCATGTGGGGCCCGCATAAATGGAGAAAACGATTTATTTACCTGGTCAAACTTTCCACTAAGGATAGCATCACGCGCTTTCTCACCAATCTCAAAAGCCTTCATCTTTGGTTTCTCATTAAATGTAATTCCAGAATCACTTGGAATTTCTACATATTCTTCCTTCTCAGAATTGAAACATCCCGAACGATTTCCATTCCAGAAGAAAGTAACATGACCAAACTTCACCGTTTCGCTATTGTCAAACAAAAAATACGACACTTCTCAATTCTATTACGCGTATTTCCTTTTTTTTTTAAATAAAGAAAAGGAATCAGAATCACCTGCAGGCGAAAGTGCGGATACCATTGTTGACCAAATATTCACCGGAAGTCCTCTCAATCAATGGAGGTGATACAAGATAATGACTTGGAAGTTTCAACTCTCCATCATACTGAAGCATACCTGCATACCTAATTTTGGGGAAGCGGACTCTATCAAACTTATCAAACTTTTCATATTCAAGAGCTTGAGCAAGCATTGTCATACGATCAGCTCGAAAGTTAACTGTCACAACCGCATCACCATCCACAATGGGACCCACCGCCTTCCCACCCTCATCAACAATCACAAATGGTGGTAAATATTGGTCATTAGCATTTGGAGCTTCCCTTAGTTTCTTTATCGCCTCAACTGCATTCTTGAACTTGTTTGGAGCCTCACCAAGAACTTGAGCATCCCAACCACGTTTCACAACTTGCCAATCATTCTTCAAAAAGAATGCAAGAAATATAATGATTTTGATATCAGTATCAGTATCAGTCTCAGTCCAATACATGTCAAACACAGTAGAAAGATTTCAATTCAATGAATCGATGTTACCTCATAACGATCCATAGTGACATACATGCGTCCACCACCAGAAGCAATTTGTGCATCAATGCCTTTAGCACGCAACTCGGAGAGATCCTTTTCTAGGGTTTCAGCATGGGTGACACTTGTTCCATCCAAAACATCCCTACCATCTGTAAGTATATGGACTCTTATCTTCTTGGCCCCACGCTCACCAGCACCTTTTAGCAACAACTGCAATCCAATAACATACATGATAATCTTTGAAAAAAGATCAATCTTATGTGAGATGAAGGTAAATCATGGAATCATGTTACATTGTTTTTCAACCCTATGTATACCTGTAATTGATCAAGGCGAGAGTGGACACCTCCATCACTCATTAATCCAATGAGGTGTAAGGTGTTGTTTGCAAAAGATTCCTTAATGTATTTGAAACCTTCATCATCGTATATTTTTCCAGATGCAAGGGCAAGATCAACAAGTTTTGCCCTGCAAAACAGATATATGAGATGTTATTTGTTATGTTATGTTTACAATTATGTGATTAAAAAATACGAGTATTAATGAAGATGAAGAAATCATCACCCTTGAGCATAGATTCTCCCAGCGCCAAGAGCATTGTGTCCTACTTCACTGTTTCCCATGTCATCCTCTGTGGGAAGCCCAACAGCAGTACCATGAGCCCTCACCAGTCTCCATTTATCAGGGGCAGTCTATAAAGAAAACACACTTTAGAGTTTAATAAATGTCTTCGATATAGTAATTATTTATGAAATTTAATTGATTGTAGGTTAAATAAAGTTTAACCTTTTGAATCCCAATAGGTTACAGATCAATCGAAGAAAAATTACGACTGATACTTCGATTTGAAATTTACAAAAAACTGATAAAACAGCAGCACGAATTCCTAATTAAATTGATGATAATTTTGTTACACTTTCGAGGTTATACTCGTTAATTCGACTTGATTTCTTAACCATTGTTTTGATCATGTTGCGATTCCGATACAAAATCTAAAAATCAATCAATTTTAAATTGGATTGATCGACAATAATTCTAACACGCAGCTAACAAAAGGTTTTCCGGAATCAACTAACGAAAATATAAAAATCGATATAGATAGATCATAGATATAGATGTTAGAATGCATGAGAATTATCGAAGGAAAAAAGGTACGCTTTTCAGAGAATCCATGGTAGGTGTTTCGGCGACATGGATGCAGTTGTATTTTCCGGGAGAAGCATCACCCCAACCATCCAAAACCACCACCGCC